CCCAGTTTTGGGCCCAACCGGAATTCCGGTCCGGGCCGGTCCAACCAACCGGCCTGGCTGGGACCGGTCCGGTCCAACTGGCCGGTGGCCGGTGCAGCCCTGATTTGTATTGCGTGGCTTCTGCGACCGTGTTGCAGCATGTTGTGTCAGAAAGTGTGCTTATAAGGGAATGCTTATAATGCCCAGCTTTCAAAAGCCAGGAAACGAAAAAAAGAGACGAAAAACAAAAACCAAACCGACCAGCGGTAAGACAGGTACAAAAAGGCAAGCAAAATGGCAAGGGAAAGGTCAAGGTGCAACACGGTACTTGGATGAGAAGCAGCAGCAAAGAACAAAGGGTGGATGGCATAGGGGAGGCGGGTGGGCAGGGGGAGGGCATGGGGGAGACGGGCATGCAGACAAACAGCACTAGTCAGAAAAATGAGGCGGCAACAACAGGTCAAGAAGTAGCACTAGGGCGGTGAAGCAAGATCACAGAACGTAGGCTGGAGGGCACGGAGGAGGCGGGTGGACAGACAAACAACACTAAGCGAAAAAAGAACGGACAGGAAGTCAAGAAGCAGCTTGGCAAAAAGACAACAAGGCATACAACAGAACAAGTAGCAAAAGAAACAAAAGACCCAAAAAAATAAAAACTGATGATAACAAGATTGTTTCGTCGGAGTTACACAACATCAGGAGGCTGAACCCTTGACAATCTGCGGAATCCGCGTATTGGATGGTTTGGGTAATTAACCCTTTGACCCATGTTGAAGGCAGATTGTCCCCAAGCGGAACATAGCAGCAGGCAGCAACCCTGCGGAGCACCAGGCAATGCAGTAGAGGCAACACCACTGCACAACGCCAAAACGACAGCAAGGAACGACACCGCAAGTGGATGGCAGATGAACTACACAGCAACCATGTAGTGAAGCACAAGGCAACACAAGCAAGGCAACCACAGGGCGAGCGTACCAGCAGCTCGGCGACCATGCAGCGAAGCACAAGGCAACAGCAACAGGGCAACCAACCTACAAGGCACACAAGGAGCCAACACGGAATTTCCAGCGGATGGGCAGCAAGGCAAGGCAGCGGAGCGGCGAAGAACAAGGCAACGCCAGCAACACGGCCACACCACACAGTGGACACAGCACTTTGTAGAGAACCACATGCGAAGCAAGCAGGACAAGCAGCAAGGCAGCGGCGAAGCGCAGACGAGGCAGTCCACGCATCCAACACGGAGCAAAGCGGGATGACTCACATCTCAATTGAACCCCACAGACTGTTGGTTCCCTCCACCCACTGAGGAAGGGAGTCACTCCAACGAGCATCCATCATCACTCACAGGCAACACAGACATCCAGAACCAAGCGCCCCCCTCTAAGAGTACAATAGCCACTCCAAACGAGGAACCAC